CCAGGGGCGGCCGTACAGCTCGGAAAAGTCATGTTAGAGGGGAGGCGGGAGCGAGGTAGCCCCTGCGGTCCCCCATGCACGTTCTTGGCCCCTTGAATTCAGGGCTAGCGCGTGCCCCCCAACATATGGGTGCTGCCGGGGGACGAAGCGCACAAGAGCTCGATGCGATCAAGGCAGATTGGGGGTCAGGAGAAACCACTGGCAGGGAAGGGGGTAACTGACCCCAGCCCTGGGCTGGACACAGTGAACGTGCCATGGGAATAATCGGCCAGGCAGGTGTTCAGCTGGAAAAAGGCTGGGGAGCACCGTGGGTCCCAAGGGAAACAGGCACTGAGTGCCGAAGGCACCATCCTGGGACACACTGGGAGAAGCCTGCCGTGCTGTGCCATTGCCATGCCATGCTGTGCCATGCCATGCCATGCCATACTGAGCCATGCCACGCCATGCAATGCCAGTCTCTGGAAGGACTCCCTCTATGGCAGCAAAATCACCTTTGGACATCAGGCTGTAAGGAAGATCTAAGCAAATCACAAAGAGCCCTGAAGGGAGCAACAGGGAGGATGGGGTTTGGAAAGCTCAGGCAGTGTAACCTGCCTCAGAGGAAGGCTGAAGCAACTGGGTTTTGTGAGCACAGGGAATAGCAAGCCATGGGAAAGAGCCAGGCGTGAGCACTCATGCTGCTCCCCTCCTGCCCAAGGGCTGGCTGTCTCCGGGCACTGAGCCACAGCTTGCTGTGGCCACTCAGGAAGAGATGAGAAGACACGAGTTTAACTGGCAGCAGAAAAGGCTGATGGTGGATATGAACAAACCAAACTGGGAAATATGGGAACCAGCAGCTCAGAGGGCCTGCAACACCCATCCCAGGAAGGTGCTGCTGCTGGCTGGGTGCTGGGGAGCAGCCACAATGCACCATGTCTGGAGGCACACTGCACCACACCCAGGTGCACTGTGCTGGCCCCAGATGGGCTGTGCCAGCTCCACATGTGCTGCCTGGGTCCAGATGTGCTTGCCCTTGATGCTGTCCCAGCTCCAGATGTGCACACCCACAGTGCCACCCCAGATCCAGATGCGAGGGCCTTGCTCCAGACGTGCACACTTGCAATGCTGCCCCATCCCAAATGTGAAGGCCCATGGTGCTGCCCCAGCCCCAGATGTGCACCCCCGCAGTGCTGCCCAGCCCCAGATGTGCAGCCCCAGCCCCAGATGTGTGCCCTGCAGCGGGTCCCACCCAGCATTTCTTGCTCAGCCCAGCTATGTCACCGCAGGCAGACGACTCCCTGGCCCCAGCAGCCCTGCAGAGGGGGCTGGGATTCCCCTGGGACCCTCCTCGGCTTGCTCCCCTCCATGTCAGGACTCCTGAGCTACAGCAAAGCCCACCCGCAAGGCAAGACCCCCCTCTGCCTCCTAAAAATGGTTTTCGATGGCTTAATATAAATATTTTCGTTACCTAATGCATTAAAGACACCCGTAACACGCTGAAACTAAAATTCTCACCGAAACCCTCCCGATCTTGCTTGGTGTGTGTATAACTATACATATAGATGCATTATATATGTTAGTATAACTACATGTTACAGTCTCAGCACACAGCAAGGCTTCCCCCCCAGGCTGATGCTCTTGCTTTCACCCACCCTTCACTTTCACAAAAAAATCCCATGGATCAGTCAAAACCCAGAGCAGCGGGGGCTTGCTGGCAGAGGGAGGGTCTGCTTTGCCCCGGGGGGGTTGGAAATTATGTTCCTTAACGTTTTCTTGGGAGGGCAGAGGCAGGCGAGCAGTGCGGTATTTCCTGTGGTTGCAGCGTCTAATGAGGTTAACACTGTTATTGAGGTTAACTCTTCAACCGACATGAAAAAGGAAGCCACGCGCTCTGCAGCGGGGGTGGGTTTGGGAGCTGCTGCGGGAGCCGGCAGGATGGAGAACCCTGGAGCCTTGGCCCCTTCTGCCCCCCGCCCCGGGGGTCCTCAGCTCGTAGCATCCTTGATCAGCTGGGGATTGGCACAAGTAGAGGGGGTGACACTTGCTGCCAGTGAAAACAACCTCAGTCCTTAAGGAGTTTTTCATTGTAGGCTTCTGGGGTTAGTAGAAAAATGTTCTTTTGCTGACAGAGCTCAGCCTGGCTCCCCAGGACCCCTCCACTGGGTTCCTGTTGCCTTGCATGAAGCCACGCAAACATAAAAATCCATTTGGGATGGACTTGAATTTGCCAGCGTGACTCCAAATTCTATAACAACTTAAAGACTGAAAAGACAACCCCTCCCCGAGGCTGTTCCTTTAAGGGATGCTGGGTTTTCCCATGGACTGACTCAGACTGGAAACTCTCAGTTTTTCTCGTCACAGCTATCTAGGTCAGGCTTGCTGACAGTTGCTGATACTTCTCGCTGCGCTCAGCAGCCTCGGTCACAGCAGCAGGCAGAGGGGCCTGGCAGCACATGTCCTGAGGACTGGCAAGGTAAGGACCCCCCCACTCTGCCCAGCTTCCAGCCCGCTACCACCGGGATTTAAAGCCAAAAAATCCCAGCTCGTGTTTCTCGGCTGCTGCTTATATGCGTTAGCCAATTCTGACACACGTTGCTGGTAAAGATTTCGCATGGTTTGGGCTTGCACAACCGGGACAGCTTTTTCCTTCTTCTTCATTTGCTTCGCATTTCTTTAGCACTAACGTACAAGGACACTTTTTAATAGAGATGAGATCAAAGAACAGTATCTCTCGACAAGGGGAACGGTCTTGTTCATTCTGGCTTTGGAGTTTGCAAATGCTTGTAAATTGGAATAAAAATGTGAATGTGAGTGATCCCTGGAGGAGGCAGAGCCTGTGATTTTGTCTTAGAGCTGGCAGCCAGGCAGTTTTATTGTATTTTCAGCTCTTTTCATAGACCATGAGGGTTTTTTTTCCATTTGTTCTAACTTGCGGAAGGTTTGCAGGCAACTGGGAGGCCTTCAAGTTCTCTTAGTGGGTCAGGTAATAGGAAGGCACTTGAAATTTGACTCACTCATTATGAATACTTGAACAGCCCTTAAAACAAACGAGGTCAGTGCACACAGCAGGAGAAATACAAAAGCATTAGCTGTAGCTAGTGCCCTGGTTTGGGTTGAACAACGTCATTTTGAAGCTTTTACAATGGACTCTGGTTCAGCGTGTCCCTCAAGGGAAAACTTGCCATTTCTAACGTCAGATTTTGTATAGGGTTATTTTAATTATGGCTGGCTTAAAAAGAAAACTATGGAGGTGTGGGGCTTTGCTCAGTTTTCAGCACTATGCACGTGAACGGGGTGTGAGGCTATGGTAATGATCTGCCCACCACCCAGCCCTGAGCCCACTGCAGCATCACCCCAGCCTTCAGGGGGGCTCGGCTGTGCCGTGCAAGCTGCTCCCAGGTGGATGTCTCTCTTGGAAAAGAGCAATCCCCCCCCAGGAGCTGCATTTCCTTGCGCTCCGCCAGTCTGTGCCTTGGCTGCTGCAAATCTGTCCCAGCCCTGTACCCCGTACTCTGAGCCTCGTGGGGCTGGCGAGGCTGGGCTTCCCCTCTGGATGGGGGGTTGGCCTGGGGTGGGTGAATCCAAAGAGGGTGGGGAGGAAGGCAAAGTGAGCAGGGAAAAATTCAGGCAAGACTGTGGGATGTGGACATAAGTGTGGCTCCTTGGAGAGAGGGGGAAGCCCTTGCCTGGGATTTTGAGACTGTCTCGAGGGGGAGTGCTGCCAGGAAGAGCCATTGCTTGGCTCGGGCAGGACCCACCACAGCAAGAGGGTGGGAAAGACGTTACGGAAAGAGGGGAAGTTTCTGTCCCATAAAACCATGTCTGGTCAGGTCTGAGCATCTGCAGGGATGGAGACCGCAGGGCAACCCCTCAGGGCAGCTGGCCCCATGCGTGGTCACCCTTAAAGTCCTTTTTCTTATGTTTAACTGGAATTTCCTGGTTTTCAATGGGAGCCCATTGCCTCCTGTCCTGTCCCTGGCCAGCGCTGAGAGGAGTCTGGCTCCCTCATCTCTACTCCCCCATCAGACATCAGACCCCCCTGAGCCCTCTCCTCTCCAGGCTGAACAGACCCAGCTCTCCCAGCCCTTCCTCACATCTCGGGTGCTCCAGACCCTCAGGTGTCTTTGTGGCATTTGCTGGACTCACTCCAGTCCATCCATGTCTCTCCTGTCCTGGGGAGCCCAGCCCTGGACCCAGCGCTCCAGATATGCCTCCCCAGGACTGAGCAGAGGTGCAGGATGAAGACAAGCAGCGTTGCCTGTGCTCCCCTCACCCACCATGCCAGTCCTCTTCGAGGAAGGCTCTCGGGCTGCTCAGGCATGATTTCGCTTCTGTAAATCCACGCTGCCTGCTCACATCACCTCCTGGTCCTCCTGCGTGTGCTGGGAGCCGGTTTCCAGGAGGGTTTGCTCCATCACCTGCCCACGGGTGGAGGTGAGGCTGTCCAGCCTGTGGGTTACCTAAAACTGCATGAACACACACGTCCATATAAGTATAAGGAATAGACTGGAGAAATTTCACAGATATGAAAACTAAGAGAAATGTCACCGGAAGTAGAAGCTCGGGGAAAGTGGCCTTGGGGCTGCTCGCTGGGGCTGGACACTGGGCTGTGCCAATGGGGTGCCTGTTACCCAAAATGCTGAGTCCTGTGTGCCTGTGGGCTTGTCCCCCTGTGCTCCCACTGCTGGCACGACCTGACCTGACCCTAAATCCCCAGCAAAACCCTCGCCATGCATCCCCATTGCCACCTCCAGGGTGGTCCCTGAACATCCCGCAGCGAGGGCAGACCCGGCTGCGTCGGGCAGCAGTGAGGCTGGTGGGACAACTCACACCTTTCCTCCCCCCAGACTATGCCACTCGCGTGCAGCAGCTGCAGCCCAGGCCATGGTGGGGTCCGGCGAGGCTTTGGCGCTCCACATCCTGCTCTGCTGCCTGTGTGGAGGTAAGTGGCAGCACAGCTCTGCATGGCTTGGCATGGCCACCACGGCATCACCCTCGCTAACCACAGGAGCAAATGCCCTGGCCCCGCCAGAGACTTGGAGTGGAAGTAGGAAAATTATGGGGCTACAGCTATGGATTTTGCGGGGAGCACTTCATTAGCGTTGCAGGGGGCTCCCATGCCCTGCGGCACCCTCTCCTCCCTGTTTGCATCCTTGGACCGGGGCCGTATCCAGCTGCATTGAAGCATGCTGGCATTTCAGCAGCTGTGACAAGCAGTGTGATCCTGCCTCGGCACACAAAAAGCCAGAGCGCAGCTGCGCCCTTTCCAGGAAGGCCAGATCGAGCCTGATACCGGCTGCGAGCCAGGTTTGCCGGGGCTGGTGCAGAGCTCTCATCTGATAGCGAAGGGCAGCACGCCTCTGCACGGGGGCTGCAGCCCTAATCTCAGGGGATCAGAGCTCTCAAGACTATGGGTTATTTCCCTGCAGTCATTTAACCATTAGAGCAAAACCTAAAATTGGTGAAACTAGCTGTTTCCGATCTGAGGGGATGAGTCACTGGGTGCCGGGGCGCTGCTGAAGGCAGTCTGGTTTATCCCTGTCCCAGGGGGA